AATACTGGGGCAACTTAGATCCTATCTAAGTATAAGTGCCACAGAGATACATGCAGAAAGAGCCGCCTCAGCCTGACTCTGCGTTCTGAGAGTCTCGGGTCAAGTCGGCAGTTAGCCACCTACCCAGCCACGGTTTTCAATGCATCATGACAGTTGCAAAGTGCCTTAAATTGTTTATGAGGAGGAAACGAGCTGACATGCAGTGGGAATGAGGAGTCAACCTCACTCTCTTCGCTCTCCACCGTCGGAGCTGGTCAACTATCTGATGCGGGAATCGGACGCCAGTCGCTGGCGTCCGATTCGAGCCTGCACCTCGGTGTGGCCTCGTAGTAAACCAGGGACGGTACGTGGAATCTATTTGGAAGGCTACGCTGCTTGCGATGGTTGAACTATAACGCAAGAAATACTTCTTCTATGCGCACTTTCAGGACCCACTGTGAATAGAGTACTGACCAAGGCATGCTGAAAACTGCGCAGTAGCGATGATAACAGTGCCATGTCAGACGGGAGCATAGCTCAGTGGTAGAGCATTCGACTGCAGATCGAGAGGTCCTCGGTTCAAACCCGGGTGCTCCCTCCGCCAAATTTTAAGCTCCTCTCAGAATTCGTAATTCGTCTTCTTGCTGCACCTCCTGCCCAGATTGTAACCATGAATTTTCTTGCTGTTGTTGGGAACTCAGAAGGTTTTTCGTGGGTGAAATATCAGTCCTTTTGGTGAAGTTTTCCACGATGTTTTAGCTGAGGGCTTTCGTCCAGATATGCCTCCTTATGTAAGCAACTGGATGTAGCAACCTGGGTGAAATATTACTTCCCGCCCAATTTTTGCAATTTTCAAAAAAAACATCGCAGTGGCTTAAGTTAATGACGAAAACCCTTACCGCTGCTGCGATTTTCGGGCCCGGTTCCATGTGGGAAGAGAAGAAGAAGTGAGACGCCAGACGGGACGAATAGTATATTCTGTACGGAGCCAGTAGAGAATGGGTTGGAGGAAGTTGACAGTCAGACGAGTGCACGTCCGCAACTGCGAGGATGGCGTCCGTCAGCCGCAGGAGAAACCATTATAGTCTAATTCTACGTCTTGAGGGGAAGACCGAGTTATTTCGTCAGTTGGTAGTCCTCCAAGTCACGACTTTCAGCACGTCGTGAAAAATGCAGGGGCGGTTCAGAAGGTTAATAACACGCTCTGAAGGAATCTCATTCGATGAATGTTTTATTTGAAGTGTTTGCACATTCAGCAACGTAAGACTGACAGTGTAATAGTA